GTTCCCTTTTGACCTTCAGAACATGAACACGACAAGTCCTGTGATCCAGGCTAGCACTTCTAACAGTAAGACCTGGTAAGCACATGAAAAATCGTGCCATCAAGGTTAGCATCTCTAACGTTCTATTACTTGCAAGTACAACTACCTGGTATGGTCGTGCTGATGTGCTTTTCCATCTGTAACACCAGTGCAGCACGGCTCTTGACCTCTGTTGCCGGCAGGGCATGTTTGCCTGCATAGCATCCACGGTAGCAAAACACAAAAAGGACAACAACAGAATCAACACAGACACACACCCCTGGCATACTACCCAGCAGCTCAGGAAAACATTGCAACACCGTGGCAGCAGCTTATACACGATAAGTCATTGTGCTATCCTCCCAGGTCGGGATGGTTGTTCCTAGGCAAGCAAAAAAACACAATTCGCTATCATGAAGCATACACAGAACTATAGAACGTTTCTATAAAGTGCACGTAATGGGCGTTCTCTCCCTTTCTCTATCTCTGTCTCCGTCTGTCTGTCTGTCTGTGTCTGTCTGTCCGTCTCTCTCCTGCTCTCTCTCTCTCTCTCTCTCTCTCACACACACACACACAAACACACCACACACACACATTCATACACTTTAAAGCACACACACACACACACACATACACACACGCGCGCACACACACACACATACGCGAACACACACAAATATGCACACACACACACACACACACACACACACACCTCAGACCTCAGACATGCCCATCGCGGGAGCGATGACACACACACATACATACACATCCCGTATCTACTTACCAAGAAGTCCAGAACAAAACTTGGAGAGCAACTTCAGATAGCCTCCTGGAAGTTCTGAGGGCAATTTCTAAACATAGATACAAGGGCGATGGCAACAGAAGGTAACGATTACAGAAATGTTATCTCTTGTTGGCAAGAGTACTATGATAATATCATGAAGAATTCGAACAGGACTGTTGACAGGGCACCGTAGCCGTCCTTTTGCTGTCCATTTCCAAAATACAGTAGGTATCGGTTATAGCGTGGGTGTTTGAAAAACGACTTTCTATTCTTATTTCGAGGTTCGGCCTCATATTCTCTGTGCTGCGCTGATGAGTCCACAAAGGACGAAGGAGTTCTGTCCGCAGATTGGGTATTTCGCTCCTGCTTTGCAGCAGTTGAGCATTCTCGTGTGGGGTAGTGCCCTTGCTGTTTGGTATGTTCGGGCCTGGTTTAAATCTGGCTTTGGAAATTTATTTCTCATTGCTATCAAGTTCGAATGAATAATAGATGAAAGAATGAGTATGCTTATTGGGTAAAGTGGCGCAATTGTGCACTTTCTACATAGAAAAGTGGCATACTCAAAGAAGTTGAAGGTGACAAAAGTTCTCAAGGTGATAACGAAACGCAGAGTGCTGCTGGAACATGCATACATATGGTGCTAGAATTTAGACAAACGCATGAAGAAGAATCAGGCTCGGTCCCATTTTCTCTGTGCTGTGCTGATGAGTCCACAAAGGACGAAACAGTTCTGCCCGCAGATTGAGTATTTCGCTCCTGCTTTGTAGCAGTTGAGCACTCTCGTGTGGGGTAGTGCCTTTGCTGTTTGCGTTATGCAGAGCTCACTGACTTGTCAGTTTGAGCCCTCTAGCAAGGTACGTTCGGACCTGGTTTAAATCTGGCTTTGGAAAATTTATTTTTCATTGCTTTCAGGTTCGGCCTCATTTTCTCTGTGCTGCGCTGATGAGTCCACAAATGACGAAACAGATCTGCCCGCAGATTGAGTATTCTTATTTCCGATATTTCTTACACACGATAAATCAAGTGCGACATATCATATGCATGCGCGCAAAGGTAGGAAGGCCATCGTACATGCAACGTATCGCTGCTGTGCAGGCGGGTGTTCATAGTCTCATAAGCTTACAATGTGGCTATGCTGCATGAGTTACATGACAACAACAGTTGAACATGCAGCACTACGATGCAATCCGAGTCGGGTCAGAACTACATTGGACAGATATTATTACTATAGTACAGGCGATATACACTTTGGACTAATCTGGCATGTTTTGCTACACAAAGTCCATTCTTAGGACCGATATACAGTAAAACCTGTCAATGCGACCACTCGGATAAGGCGACCACCTGTCCTAGAAGACCACTGAAACCAGGACCGGACCGGTCCCGAGGGATGCTATTTCCAGTCAAATGACCCTGGATAAGGAAACCACCTGGTAACAGAGACCAAGCTTTGAAGGTCCCATGAGCAGTCGTCTTAGACAGGTTCCACTGTATTCTACTATGCGATAACATTGCTTGTAAGAATAAATGTTCACTTGAAAGTTGAAACCCATGTTATGATTATGAAAAGATGAGAGTTCCTTCCTGTAGGCAGTATATTCTTTTACACGACCACACCATAACCGATACGCACTGTAGTATCGTATCCTGCTGGCTACAAGTACCACATTACAATAGCTGACTACAGGAACGATCTCAGATTCTGGAAAGGTGTGGTCGCTTGATGTTCGCGGTGCGAAAATTCACAATATGCACACACGGATCGGAGTGCAGGACAGAGATAGCATTTTTTTTGTATCAGGGAAGGCTATGTGTGTGTGTGTGTGTGTGTGTGTGTGTGTGTGTGTGTGTGTGTGTGTGTGTATGTGTGTGTGTGTGTATTTGATCAATTTCTGACAATTTGCAAGTAGAAGTAAAATTGTGTGTGCACGCATGTGCATGCATGAATGTGCATGTGTTTCTACAAGCGCGTGTGCGTGTGTGTGCATGTGTGTGTGCGCGCGCGGGTGCGTGCAATTATGTGAGGACTACCTAACCTAAAACGTTTAAGATGTTCAGGAGCCTGAATTGTGTCTTTCTTATCCGCATTACTACGTACTAGTAACTACTACCAGATTTTCATTCCGGTGTACACTTTGTGTAAAGGTACCTCAACAGATTTATCATGATACATTTATACTTCATACATTATGGCCTCGAAAAATTCACTGCGTAGTGAATTTTTTTTTATTGCCACTTAGAAAACAAACGTGCGGACTCATAATTCGGTCATGAAGCAAATTTCCATCCGCATGCATGCGGCTTCACAATAGACAATCGCCAGTGCTCACCAGAAGCTTCATTAGGAAATAGCTCAAGTGTTACTTTTCATTACGTTCCACGCTCAGCACGGTCACCCGATCTCCACTGCCACTCCTTTCTCACCGCCAGACTCCACAGTCGATGGCCATTTAGTATAGAGCAATACTGGTCACTGGGAGTAAAGACACCTCATGGAATAGATGAACTACTGGAGCTACAAATTTTGATTTCATGACATGCCCAAAATATGCAAATCTTGTAAATGTAGCCCAAAATATTTTTTCCAACCCCGGACGTACGTGATGCGCGTGCATGCATGACATGTCGACATGACGGCAGCGCGCGTCACCATGGTTCCAGCGCCATTTTATTTTTTGTACATTAATTTTGACTTTCTTGATGAATGCAAAAAGTCATGCAAAACATTGCCACACTGTATGCGCCCGACCCGCGGTAGCCAGACGTTACGCGGTAGATGCACGACTTGCCATAATGAACCCTTGGTGGACCATGGAAATCAGGAAATACTAGTGCTGTAGTAGCAAGAGTACATAACCCAAGAGTGTGCAACTCCAGCTATGGGGTCTGCGACGGCAGAACTTCACATCACGTGATGAACCCGTGCACTCTAGTGCATGATAGATACTGGGTTGTACGCAGCCCAGCTTTGGGTACAACTCTCTTGTGGTCACTTTGCACTGTTTGCCAGCATAACCTTTTGAACCATGTCACGTGATGTGAAGTTCTGCCGTCGCAGCACAGCATAGAGGTTGTGCAGGCAGTTGCACACTCTTGGTTATGTACTCTTGGTAGTAGTGATAACTTATTATTATACTCCCTGATGGAAATCATTCTCCCCGGGTATAGACTTCTAAAGTTTACCGGTAGTTGTTTTCCACTGTTCTTTGAGGGGGGTTTTTCGTCCAAGAATGCAAAGTACTCTATGACTGCTTTTCTGAGTACAATCGTGTTCTGAGTGACGGGCATATCCTAGGACTTCATGAAAACATTCATGTTACCATGGATGATGTATGACCAATTGTACAGCAGCTCCGTTAGTCTGATCACTGTACTGTTCTTGTACTGGTTACTTTACTCACATTTTTTTTTTGAACCGGCCTCTTGTACGGGCAGAAGTAACGTATAAATGATACAATAAAAACATGGACCATACCAGAAAAGCAATGATGACGAGGCATAAACAAGAGAGCATAAAGGTAATGTCTAGTGCGGTATGGCAGCTTACGAGACAGCGAGTCGAGCGGATCTTTACTCACAGAGTCAAATTATTGTACATGTAACGCTGGTTTGGGGCCAACAGATGGCTGACCCGTGTCTTTGCCGCATTGCAACTGGAGACGAACGTCTCCCGGCAAAGCCCGAGAACACAATTGTCTCGTGGGAACGGCCGTGCAGGTATTCAACATTTCGGGTAGACTCTTCTCGCATTCCAGCTCAACTTGTACAAAATCGCATGCACTGCACATTTCGTGCAATAGCGCAAATAGCGCACATGATGATAGAACATCTCCTCAAGCGTGCACACGGACACACACACACACACACACACACACAGGCGCGGGATGACCTAAAAAAATTGGGAAAAGGCTCTAGCAACTTATCTTGACACACAATGACAACATACTGGCAACATAATCGTCACCACCAGGGGAGATAGTATTTCCTGCGTTTAATTGAGCCTGCAATGTAACACAGAAATACAATGTGTGTGAATCAAGAGTCTGAATAAGACATAAAACCAAAAATAATAAAAACCTTGTACTTTTAGCTACAACATGCACTATTCGGTCAGCAAGCCTAACACAGCACAGGAGAGCATGTACAAGGGAAGGTGTTTGCACCTTTCCACCACCGGCGACGGGGAAGTAAGGGTGAGAAGATCACATAGCACAGGAGTGCATGTACAAGGCAAGGTATTTGCACCTTTCCACCACCGACGGGGAAGTAAGGGTGAGAAGATCACCAAAAAAAGTTAAATGAGATGAACAGCTCATTGGAACGGTTCAAGGAATCAAGAGCATCCTACACCGCAGCCCGCTAAACAGGGAGAGAAAAAAGATGAAATAAAAGCAGGGAAAGAGTCAGCATGCCCGCATCAAGCGCACGTTCACACGGAACTTACACATGCACCCAACCACCCACGCATGTGTGCACATACACACACACACACACACACACACACACACACACACACACACACACACACACACACACACACACACACACACGAGTGCACATACAGGCAACATTAGCTCGTGTACAGTATCATGTATTGTAGTACAGCACGTAGACTTCATCATACCGAGGGTAACACAGACAAGCAGTTGTTCGAGCGGGATTGCTTCAGTTCATTGCAGCGCTTCACAAAGTCATCCAGCGGGAATTCACCGAGAACTTTGTTGCAGCGAGTGCGGACGTTCACACTGGCATTGTCCACTTCCTTCTGGCCAACCACCAAAATGAAATTGTACTGCTCCACTTGGGCATTTCTGACTTTCCGGTTCAAGCTGTCGGTGCCGTCTACCACCTCGGCACGAAATCCTGCATCATGGCAATGCTGTGAAACTTTCCGTGCATATTCATTGAATACGGGCATAACTGGAATCACCTTGACCTGTCGAGGCGACAGCCAGAAAGGCCACTTGCCGGCGAAGCTTTCGACCAGAATGGCCATCATGCGCTCTACTGATCCGAGAATGGCACGGTGAATCATCACTGGCCTCTGACGAATCCCTGCCATGGTAGTCTGATAGAGGAGCTCAAACTGCTCAGGCAATTGAAAGTCCAGCTGGATTGTGGCACTTTGATGCTTGCGTTGCAAAGCATCTCTGAGGACAATGTCGATTTTGGGACCATAAAATGCTCCATCTCCAGGATTCAGCTTCCAACGATCACCACAGAAGTCGTTGAGTGACTTCTTTAGCTGATCCTCTGCAATGTCCCATTTCTCAGCATCGCCAAGATAAGCCTCGGGGCGCGTAGAGAGAAACAGGTCAAACTGGAATCCGAAAATACCATAGACATGCTCCAGGAACTCCAAGCAGCCCTTTATCTCTTCCTCAATCTGTTCTAGGGAACAGAAGATGTGAGCATCATCCTGCTGAAAGCGACGGACACGTGTAAGCCCAGACAGGGTTGACGTACTCTCATTTCGATGAAGCACTCCAAAATCAGCAAACCGGAGTGGGAGATCACGAAAAGAGGGGTCCTGGTGCGCAAACATCAGGCAGTGGCCGGGACAGTTCATCGGTTTCAAGCCGTATGTCTCTTCATTCTTGAGCTTGAAAGAGAAGATATTTTCTGCATAGTGCTGCCAATGTCCAGAAGTCTCGTACAGCTGCTTATTGTAGATGTTGGGTGTAATGACTTCCTGGTAGCCACGACGGCGATACTCTTCACGGAGGAAGTCCAACAGGGTGTTGTAGATATGAGCACCGTTTGGCAGGAAGAAGCAGCTCCCGGGGCTCAGATGGTGGAAGAAAAACAGCTCTTGATCCAGTCCAATCTTTCGATGGTCTCTCTTGGCAGCTTCTTCTTGGAAATGCTTCCACTCAGCCAACAGATTTTTGTTTGGAAACGAGATGGCGCGGACACGCTGCAATGCATCGGCATTGATGTCACCATTCCAGTTTGAGTTGCTGGTACTAATGATGCTCAGAGCCTTCACTTTGCCAGCATGTCGGATATGTGGCCCAAGGCAGAGATCAATCAAGGGGCCACATCGATACACTGTGGCTGTTGCAGTGGAGATGCGCTCCTCAATTATCTCGCGCTTGAACTTGTTATGGCGGAACAGCTGCAGCAGATCCGCTCTGCCCACGACCAGGCGAACAAAAGGTTCCTTTTTCTTCATGAATTCCTTGCACAAAGTCTCCAACACTGGTAAGTCCTCCATCTTAATGGTACAATCTTGCATATACATGTCATAGTAGAAGCCATTTTCTAGTGGTGGTCCAGTACCCAGCAAGCCACCGAAGCGTTGCTCCATGGCTCGGCCCAAGAGGTGGGCGCTGCTGTGCCAAAACACTTGCTTGCCCTGATCGTCGTCGAACTTGAGCAGCTCCAGTGTGGCATCATTTTCTAGAGGTCTGTCCAAGTCCCACAGCTCTCCATTGACCTTGGCAACGACAGAGCTATCTGCCAGACCATTGCTGACTTGAGAAGCCAGTTCGTATGGAGTGCTCCTCCAGCTTTGGCCCTCAAGCACACGGCCATCCAGCAACGTCACCGCGATGCGTTCCGAGACCTTACCGGCAACCCTAGCATCCTGCTCGGCTTTCAGGCGATCAAATAGATCTAGCCTTTCCTCCAAATATCCAGGTACACGACTGCTAGCTTGCACCGAAGTTGGAGCAGTGTCTGTGGTAGATCCCTGTGCCTTGCACCGAACATTGCGTGGTACCAGCGACACGGTTTTCCGGAATATGCGAGAGAGAAACATACCATGAGAACCAGAGAGAGCACAGGCTACACGTAGTTTCAACTATTCAGGGTGAGCTCTTGAACTATTTCATGAAAACACTTCTCCGAACCAGAGAACGGTTTTGCATTTTTGTGTTGCGCATTTTTGAATGTGGACTGAAGTTGTGAATCGGGGATTTCCCTCCCTGGAGCACACACACTGGCGGTACGCGGTGTACATGTCCTGCTGCATGCACAGCATGCGCCACATGCACAGCAGACAGTCCAGGTGTCTAGACAACAGGGAGTAGGATATAGCCTAGGATACGCTTGACTTGTGAACAGTGTGAAAGCGGCACTCATCAACAAAAGTGTAAAGTAACTTAGTTCAATTATTATTTTAGTTGGTAGTTTCGGCCACAGAGTTTTTCCTTGTCACACTCACAGGGTAGATCTACGCCAGGGTGCGTGTGTCAGTGCTGGTCAGTGCGATACCACACTGGAATAGGGAGGGAAAGACGCCGATATTTCCTGGTGCGAGATCGCGGAGTTTCTTGAAGTGCAACAACTCTTGCCGAAGTAATATTGTGATACGTGAAAAGTAAGTCAAACCACTTGAACCAAGAGTAAAATCTTGTGTGAACCCTTTATGCCATTGTGGCTTGAGAATATCCAGGTGATCACATTTACTTTTATCATGGTACATGATCGATTGTACTATGGTTTTCAACAACAATACATGTCATGCAGGGAGAGGGGGAGGGGGGGGGGGGGGGGGGGGGCATGCGGCCATGCGCCTTCACATACATGTAAATAAAATCAAGAGTAGATAAACAAGAGTGTGCAACTCGCGGATCGGTTGGCCCACGGCGGATTTTTTTGTTGACGTAATCTTTTCGACGACGCACGCGTTGCGAGTCTTTTGGAAAGTTTTCCCTCGTGCACTTGGCCGGGCTTTACACTACAACTAGTCCGGTGCCCAGCACGTGCTCTCACACTGCTCTGCGGCAAAATGCACGTCTGAAAAAAGGTGAAGTCAACAAAAAATTCCACCGTGGGCGGGGTATCTGCAGATTGTGCAGGAGAGATCCAGAGTTGCACACTCTTGTTTATCTACTCTTGATAAAATTCATAATATTACATGCATATCAATGTTTTGGTCAGATCTGGATAAGAAGAACTCCGGATAAGACAAACAAACTTGTTCGGTCCCTTGCAGTTCGTCCTAACGAGGTTTGACTGTACATGTAGTAGTATGTGCAGTATTTGTCACCTAATTGCTATTTTGAGTGCTCGTTATTTTCACTCTAGTGTATTATCCTTTTTACCGTATGTCCGCACCTTTAAAGCCATGGCGGTATATTCGATTATAAAGCCAGTCTCAGTTATAAAGCCATTGGCTTTGTAAATGAAATGACATCTGAAGTTTGTTTTGCAAAAATGAAGGAATAAGTACAATGCTAGAAAACTTACAGCCCAGCAGGAAGGGTGAACAAGTAGATTTAGATTGAAATTTCTGTGTGGACTTTGACTTTTATGACATGGCATAGTGGGTGAGTCATTTTGCATCTAAAAATATCTAGGAAAGCAGCAGTGTTTCGAATATAAGGCCATGGCTTTAAAGGCGCTGACACACGGTATTGGTTTCCCCAATAGTCATGCGATTTCACTGATAATTGTGACAAGAAATGTTTTGCACAACAAGTTTGGTTGCTACAGTCAACTTCGCTAATAACCACTGCGGATACCGTATTTTCTCTATTATAAATAAGAGCCCGGGGTTCTTATATTTTCAGTGACAGCTCTACCCGCGCTACTATTAGAGACTGGGCTATTATTGGAGACTGGGCTCTTATTTTTCAATTGTCAACTATCAAGCCAACTCCAGTCTATAAATGGCATAAACTGACCGTATCAAGACTGATTTTTCAACCCTAAACTCAGGAATATTGTCAAAACATATGTTTCACAATAGCTTTGGCGCCAGGAAGGAAGCAGTAGACCAAAAACCTCCATACAAATATGTTCTTGGCATGTTGTACGGCTGTTTTATATGCAATCAATATACTTGTTGCATACTCCCATTGTGACCCGTGCTACTATTAGAGACTGTGCTCTTATTATTTCAAACAACCCTCACCCCGGGTCATTATTGGAGACCTGGGTTTTTATTAGAGAAAATACGGTATAACGACAATTCGCAAATAACGACAGAATTTCCGTGCCCAGAGCAAAGTCCCATCTAACTGTAATACATTATACGTGTACATATAACCGCAATCAATAAGACAAGCTGAATCGACATTAGAGAGGTTCCGGAGTATGATTTTTCGTGTCAAAATCCGTGGAGGCGCTACGGATTTTTTATACGTCGTTTTCGAGCAGTGAAATGTTCCGGAGTACGGAACTTATGTGTTTGCCGTTGTTCTTACTCGAACATGCCTCCGGATAGCACACGACTCGTTGTTTTAGAAGACTGTATTATAATGTTTTACTCTGACTCTGATCGAAGTCATCTTGCAGTACAAAGGAAAGTTCTGCTTCTAATGAAGCAGAAGCGGAGATTCAAAACATTCAAATCAAAAGATCGCGCGAAAGCAGTGTACGCGACTACGCGCATCAGACGTGAATACAACATGAGAAGTGAGAAGCAGTGTACGCGACTACGTGCATCAGACGTCAGCTGACGTGAATACAACATGAGGAACGAATGCGTAGTACTAGTAGAATGATAATGCACAACAGTACAACAAGCAGTGCTGATAGACACATAAAACGGAGTGGCTCTGCACCATTATCAGTGGGCTGGATATAGGCTGTACATATCCAACATGAGGAACGAATGCGTAGTACTAGTAGTATGATAATGCACAACAGTACAACAAGCAGTGCTGATAGACACATAAAACGGAGTGGCTCTGCACCATTATCAGTGGGCTGGATATAGGCTGTACATATCCCCCTTCCTGCTCGAATGGCATGGTGGAAGGAGAATGATCAATGAGAGCAGAACTAAGATTAGAGAGATTATTGATGTAAATAGGAGAAAGAGAAAAAGAGAGAGAGAGAGTTCACTTGGCAGGCACCTCCGGCTCTACCTCAAGTGGAACCAGCAAGTTGGTCGGACGCCGATACGTTTTGCCTTTGACGAGGATGTCCACCACACGCACGAGACCGTCTGCTCCGGGGAAAACGCCCACCACTTTGCCGAGAGGCCACATTCCACGGGGCGTGTCCTGTGCCATGTACAATACCATGTCACCAACCGTTATGTTGCGACTGCGCGTTCTCCAACGTTGTCGGATATTAAGCGTAGGCACAAATTCCTTCAGCCAGCGTTGCCAGATGTGGTCCACAGCAACCTGCACAGCTTTCCACCGTCTCTGCGGGTGTGCGGGTGTCATAGAAGCTTGTGCCGCTTCTATGGCCGTTTCCACCTGAATGTGGCCAATGAGGAACTGCTGAGGTGTTAACGGGGCGAGATCATCAGCATCTGATCCAACTGTAGTCAGTGGCCGGCTGTTTAACAGGGCCTCTGCCTGAACAAAGGCAGTTTGCAGTTCTTCATCAGTGAAGTTAGCAGAATGCAGTATAGCAAACACTGCTCGCTTGGCTGACCGGACAAGCGCTTCGAAGAAGCCGCCATGGTGTGGTGCCCGGGGCGGGTTGAACGTCCACGACGTGTGCTGTGTCGCTGTACGGGTGACCACTTGACCTCGGTCAATAGCTTCAAGGGCATCACGCAGCTCACGTTCTGCACCCACAAAGTTTCTGCCGTTGTCTGACACTACCAGACGTGGTGTTCCGCGGCGCTTACAAAATCGGTCAAAACACATCAGGAAGCCTTCAGTGGAGAGGTCATAGGCCATCTCTAAATGGCATGCTCGTGTCTCCTGACATGTGAAGAGGCAGAGATAGCGCTTCAATTGTGAGCGTCCACGACCTTGACGGGTTAGGAATGGGCCTGCGAAGTCCACTCCAACATGCTGGAAGGCCTGCTTCGTCATAGCAACTCGAGCGGCAGGAAGTTGGCCCATGAGCTGGTCTGCAGGCTTCCTCCACTGCCGAATGCAGCTATTACATCGTAGGCGATGCGATTTGATCGCTTGTTTGCCTTTGATCAGCCAATACGAAGTTGTCAGGTTGGCCCACAGATGATTCGTGCCGACGGCATGGTGGGCTTTGCGATCCTCATTGGCAATGATGAGGTCAGATACTGGATGCCGATACGGCAGTATCAGTGGCTGCCTCGTACCTTCCGACATTGCTGATGCCTGCTCCAGCCTGCCTCCAACGCGTAGCACAAATGGCCGTTCAGCGGTGTCTAGGACTGGATTGAGCCGGAGCAAAGGGTCTGAGGGCTTAACACTTTTCTCCCGCTGTAAGGTCGAAATAGTGGCCGAGTAACACTCCTGCTAGGCAACGCTGATCCAGTGCCGTTCTGCTCGCTGTATTTCAGTTGCCGACAGTTCGGGAACTGCTACATTCTCTGCGGACGACACAGCTACACGAGAGACCGCATCACTGCCCTCAGGTTCTTCCCCCTTCTTGGCACCTCGGCAGTTTGAGGAGAACCGGATTATCCAAGCCGTGACACGCTTCAGTCGGTTCCAGGATGAAAAGTTCTCGGGACGCAGTCTAGATGCCGTGGCTTCTGCGACAAACGTCAACGCTTGGTGTCGCTTAGTTTCTCCTAGAAGCTTGCTTGGGACGGTGATATCGCGTTGCGGTCACTCGGTCGATGGCTTGGACAGAAACTCTGGTCCTGTCCACCATGTGCTGCTCGTTGCTAGCGAGGTGGCTGGCATTCCTCGTGTGGGTAGGTCTGCCGGGTTGATCTTACCGGGCACATGTTGCCATTGCAGAGGTGATGTGGCACGTTGAATCTCCGAGATTTTTACACCGATGTCTGTGCTGAATCGTCGGCTGTGGGATCTCAGCCAGTACAACACATTGAGGCTGTCCGTCCAGAAACGATGCTCCGTCAATGGTATCTTCAGCGCTGCTTCCAGTTCTTTACTTAGCTGTACTCCAAGGACTGCTCCTTTCAGCTCGAGCTTCGGGATACTTAGCTTCTTGATAGGAGTTGGCCGTGACTTAGCGAATGCCAGTGTCACCTTCACGCGTCCGTCTGGATATTCAGAACGGACGTAGCAGGCTGCTGCTGTAGCTGCATCCGATGCATCGACGAACGTGTGAACTTCCGTCTTCACGCAGGTTGGATCCGCATCGGTGTACTTGAAACATCGGTCAGCGTGGATCTGTGCCAGGTCGGGTAACTCTGATAGCCAGCGCTTCCAACGAGCCGTGTCGTCGTCAGTCAGCGGCTCGTCCCAACCATATCCAGCGACACATGCCTCCTGAAACAGTACTCGTGCACGCATCGTGAACGGTGTGAGCTGACCTCTTGGATCGAAGATCATTGCCATCTGCCGTAGAACGTATCGCTTGGTTAATTGCTGGGACGCCTCTGGTGCCTTATATCGGAAGGTAAATACGTCCTTGTCAGCAAGCCACATGACGCCCAGGGTCTTAGACGACGGTAGAGTGCAGTGCTGATTACTGTTGACATCCAGGGACACCTGCAGGGCTCTGTCGGCTTCTGGCACGGACTCAATCACCTCAGTAGAGTTGATTAGCCACTTGCGAAGCTTGAAACCACCAGACTGTAGTAGCTGTGTCAGTTGTTGCTGGGCATCTATTGCCACAGAAGCTGACTGGAAGGAGTCCAGAAGATCGTCAACATAGAAGCTCTCCTCGACCACTTGGACAAGGTCGTTGCTGCGCATCGAGTCGGTCGCGAAATCTTGTGCTGTTTGCAGTAGAGCCTTGCCGGCGAGATAGGGTGATGCTCTTAGGCCGAAGACCAACCGGTTAAACTCGTACACTTGCATATCATCGTCTCGGCTGGCACGCCACAGAAACCGAGTGAATCGCCGATCTTCTTCTTTGAGCCCTACTTGCATAAACATCTCACTGATGTCGGCAACGAGAGCTACTGGTTCAGCAGAGAACCGCAACAGGATGCGAACGATGTCGTTCTGTAGGCGTGGTCCCGTGTGCATTTCCGCGTTGATGCTGCGACCTTTCCAGACAGCAGCAGCGTCAAACACAACACGAACCTTGCTGGTACTCTTGTCCTCCCGGACGATTGGGAAGTGTGGTAGGTACCACTGGCGCTGGCAGTCTGCTGCGGCGATGGCTTCAGGCACAGTCCGGATGTACCCTTTCTCCAGATGTGCTGCAAGGACGCGGTGATATTCTGCCTGGATTGCTGGCTTGGCTGACAGGGTCTTTTTTAGACCTCTCAAGCGCTGTTCAGCTTGAGCGCGGTTTGATGTGATGTTCGGACCAGTTGGGCGGATCCAGAGAAGACCGATTTCGTACCGCTGCCCATCATGGCGCATGGTAGCCTTGGCCAGTTCCTCCGCTTCACGTTCTGCTGGTGTGCGGTATTGCTGGTCAGCGTTCACAACCCCGATGGACTCAGTATCCCATAGGTTGAGGACGAGCTCATCCAGACGCGGTTCTGTGCCAGCGGAGGTAATTTCTGATCGTACAGCTGCGGTGGCACAGTTCGTGATGATAGACTGGGACCTCTCAGTGCTTGTACCTGTGGGGCCATAGCAAACCCAACCGAGCGGGGTCCGACGGGCAATCGGCGCATCATCGGGGCCTCGTCGCTCTTCCAGTGCTGTGTGGAGTGGCGCAGCATCCACGCCAATCAGCAGACCAATGTCGCCGGTGTCCATAGTTGGGAATGGTATGTCGTGCAGATGCGTCCAGGCATCTTGATGTTTTGTCGGCTGTGACACATCAGCGCTGATCTGGTGGGTCAAGCTGCTGTCTGTACTTTGAATGGTCACCGGTGCGCGTCGGCGCATGGCTTCCATCTGGCTGCCACCAAGTATGGTGTACAGGAGGCTGTGGTGGTGGTCTGGCAGGTCTTGTCAGCTCAGACTGGGGTGCGACAGTTACTGCAGGTTGGACACAATCTCCTCTGTCACTGTGATTGCTCAAACTAACGTTACCTGGTACTGCGACTTTGGCTGTCAGACTCCACTTCCTGCACTGACTGCTCATCCACAGCGTTCATATATCCAGAACTGCAGTTGGAGATCGAGAGAGCACCGCTACGATTTGAGCGCACACTTGCAGTTGAGGAGCGATGTGAGCTGCGATGTGAGCTACGTTGGCTACTGTCGTCCGGAATACTTCCTCATCGGAGAGCCTAGCTAGGTCCTCGGCCAACTCCAGCTCCACTAGTCTTTTGTCTTGTTCGAATTTCTTTGCCAGAAATTCCTGTTCAAGACGTAACGTCTTCGCAGCGGCCTGAATCTTCGCCGCGAAGTTGTCGTCGTGAGGACGATGTTGCTCTGGACGTACTACTAGTACCTGACCTACTTGATTCTGCGCTTCCTACAGACCTGGCATCTGCCATTGCCGTTTTCCTGGCTGCCAACGAAGGGAATTCGAAGCCTTCTGCCTCATCCCTTGCTGGTGGAATGCCTTTTAATCTCCTGCTTTTTCGAACTCGCTGTTCGCCTCAGCTCGCTCTGTCTCTAAGTCCGCCATCCGGCTCGAAGGACCATTATGTTGGTTGGTTGGTTGGTTGGTTTTTATTTCACTTCGCACATTCAAACGGGATGACGACCCAATAAAATGACGGCGAAGGCTTAGCCTAGAAGTGGCTATGGAAGAACATAGTAAAAGCTATGGAAGCACAAAGTAAGAGAATAGGATACTAATGACTGCGGGTAAACGGGGGGAGAGAGAGAATACGATGTATCTGTGATACTACGTGCGGGTTACTGAACTGCACGGGGAGGGAGAGTTCCTACTCGAACATGCCTCCGGATAGCACACGACTCGTTGTTTTAGAAGACTGTATTATGTTTTACTCTGACTCTGATCGAAATCATCTTGCAGTACAAAGGAAAGTTCTGCTTCTCTCGAAGCAGAAGCGGAGATTCAAAACATTTTTTTTTTTTTTTTGGTAAACCGGCCTCTTGTACGGGCAGAATTAAGTAACACAATGATACAATAAAAACAAGTACTAGTAGTTACATACATGGACCATACGAGAAAAAGCAATGATGACGAGGCATAAACAAGTGTCTAGTGCTATATGACAGCTTCCGAGACAGCGAGTCGAGCGGATGACTCAGCCACCTCCGGGTGTGAATACAGCCGTCGTGCACCACGCAGGCAAGCCACGCCGGCACGGAGAAGGGCAAAAGCTGAAGATTCAAAACATTCAAATCAAAAGATCGCACGAAAGCAGTGTACGCGACTACGCGCATCAGACGTGAATACAACATGAGAAGTGAAAGCAGTGTACGTGACTACGCGCATCAGACGTCAGCTGACGTGAATACAACATGAGGAACGAATGCGTAGTACTAGTAGTATGATAATGCACAACAGTACAACAAGCAGTGCTGAAACGGAGTGGCTCTGCACCATTATCAGTGGGCTGGATATAGACTGTACAGCCGTCATTGCCTAGGTTACGATCACAAACACGTCACATTCCGCGCTATGCCTTTTTATTTTGAAAATTTGTACCGAAATCAAATCTTCCCGCCAAAAATCGATGTTTCTTGTACCAAATTTGTACGCGAAAATCTTTCTGCACCCGATGACGCGGAATCTCCATACGAAACATGGTTCGTATGAAAGCCAGTCCACACGGATTCTCCGTGCCGAAAAATAGTATCGAGCACGCCTCGAAAAAATCCGTAGAGCCCATACGGATTTTGGCACGGAAAATCGTACCCCGGAACCTCTCTATTTGTGTATACTTTATTCATGCAATGTAAAACGGTGGAGACAATGTGCAATAAAGCGATGAAAATATGAAGAAATAGTGTAGAGAAAAAAAAAGGATTCAAACAAGTTTTCGTATAACACTCGTCAGGAATCATCGTTGTACTAAAGGACACTGAAACAAAATTGAACACTTATAGAAAATCTAAGTTAGAGAAATAACACTAAGAACAACAATAATAATAATAATAATAATAATAATAATAGGAGCTCTGGCAGAGTGGGCTTCTCCACATACTGCCCGCTCCTATTCCTTTTCGCTTTTCCCACTGTTGCATTCCTCGTGTCAAGTAGTCCTTGTCTATCATTTTGTGTAGTATTTGCCGTTAGTGTATGTCCGAGCCAGCCAACAGGAGGTTGAAATGGAGCCGACAGGACAACGAAGATGTTGCAAGATGTTATCTTATAGCCTCAGTCGGCGGTACGGTACGTGTGTACGGAGACCGGATGCTGATGGAATGGACTCAGCTGCGCCCCGACCGACCGTTGTCTAAGCAGCACCTCATGGACCAGCTAAGGTTTGTGAAAAGAACAAAAAAGATTACCGACATCGAATTTGATGAGATAAAGGCTCGGCTCGGAAGGGACGGATTGCTCGTGACGGCTGGCACTGATAACGCTGTGCCTGCGGAGCTGCCGGAGGCGAATGTGCCGGAGGCGAATGCTTTGGGTGAGTCTGGTGCGTCGATCTTGGTGCCTGGTTCGTGTGACGGCATGGTGACTAGCCCAGACGTTGCTGAGGCCACCCACAGTGAGTTGCTGGACGCTTCTGTTGATTTAGGTTTGCGTGGAGCTAGTCCTGACACCTCAGTTACATCAGGTGGTTCGGGTGATGGCACTGGCGCAGCAATGCAAACTGGCACCAACGCTAGTGACACCCTGGGTGCGTTCGAGCCAGACAGTACACCACTTTACGCCAAACTTGTTGAAATCTACGAACAGTGCGGTGCAACTACTCCAGAGTCCAGGTCGAGCCTACCAGTACCTAGGCACGTGGCCAGGAAGTCTCTGGCCTCTGCCACTGCCCGTGTGAACAAGATACTCCCTAGACTTCTGGAGTGTGACCGTGGGTTGCGAGATGACACCACCTCGCTTGGCCAGATCAGTGACATGGTCTATGCTGGGGCCAAGCTTGTACTCTCACTGCTGGATATCAATACAGATGGTACCCCTGACACAGCTAGAGGAGAACGCTCCTTGCCTGCCTGGCGACAACGCCTTGAAAAACGTGTTTGTGCACTGAGGGCTGACGTCTCCCGGCTGACCAGCTTCCTGCGTGATGGATCCCTCTCTGACACCAACATCAAGCAGCACAGGATCCACCGGCAATATAAAGTCCAGACTTTGGATCAGGCCCGCCAGCTACTGGAGCATACGAAAATGCAGCTAGAAGCAACAGCCGCACGGATCCGGCGCTATAAGCTAGAGGCAACACGCAGGTCGGAGAATCGTGTTTTCGTCACGAATGAGCGTCAGTTCTACCGCAATATGACCAAGTCTACGGAAATGCCTGGGCAGCCACCTGTCGACCAGGCTGCTGCACATCCATCGGCTGAGGCTGTTACTGAGTTCTGGTCATCTATACTGGAAGAACCCGTGGAGCTGCGTGGCGGTGCTTGGCTTGATAATTTGGAGAGGGACTGTGAGGAGATTCAACAACAAGACCGTGTCATTCTTCAACTGGAGGACCTCAGGGACATCTTGAAGAAATCAAACAACTGGAAAGCCCCAGGACGGGACAAGATCCATGCATTTTGGTGGAAGAATTTTCCGTCTATCCACGAGCGTATTGTGGTCTCCTTTCAATCAATCCTGGATGCAGAGACAGAGTCGCCGGCCTGGTTCTCGTTTGGTATCACCACTCTACTGCCTAAGAAAGGAGACCTTTCTAGGCCCGAGAATTATCGCCCAATAACATGCCTGCCAACGATTAGCAAGATATTCACATCCTTACTCGCTGCTGCCATGTGGCGCCATTTATCTTCAGAGGATATCTTTGCAGATGAGCAAGTTGGCTGTACTCCAGGGCGTGGTGGATGCCTTGACCAACTAATGATCGACAAGATGGTTCTAGAGGATGCAGCATCCCGTAGTCGGAATCTTTCGACATGCTGGGTGGACTTCCGCAAAGCCTTCGATAGCCTGTCTCACCAGTGGATCCGGAGATGCCTGTTGATCTACCGCTTTGCAGACAATCTTGTCTCATGCATCTCAAGCATGATGGATCATTGGAGAACGCAAATGGTACTGCCTGGTCAAACACCCCGTGCATTCAGTCGCCCAATATCTATCCACCGTGGCATTTTCCAGGGCGATTCCCTTTCTCCACTGCTATTTTGCCTGTCTCTAAATCCGATCAGTGGCGAGTTGACCAGGACGGGTCTTGGCTACCGCTGTGGCCCACCGGCCCAGGTGTGCCCTGTATCGCACCTGTGGTACATGGACGACATGAAGCTCTTCGCCCGAAACGACAATAATCTGCTCTCCATGACCAATGTTGTGGAGTCAATGGGCGACTGCATTGGTATGCGATTCAACCCATCAAAGTCTAGCTGGCTCACCATGAAACGGGGAAGAGCCCAGAGCGATCAGCAGTCTGCTCTCCAGACACTCCAGGGTCACGCCATTGCTAAGCTGCAGGCGGAGGAGTCCTACAGGTACCTTGGTGTCCCGGAATCAGCACATTTTCACGCCACCGAATTGAAGACCACAGCAAAGGCTGAGTTCGGCCGCCGCCTTCAATTGATATGCTCGTCTCAATTGAACGCCAGGAACTTGGTCAAAGCCATCAACACCTTTGCCATTCCAGTCATCCTCTACTCTCTGTGCATCGTTGAGTGGACAAAGGCAGAGATAGAAGAACTCGACCGACAGACCCGCCAAGCACTGTTTAAAGCACACGCCCGCCACCCCAAGGACTCTG